GTTGAGAGCTACCGACACAAATCCCAACACACAAGCCAGCTACCGGCTATCTGGCGCCATCTAGTGTTCATTCTTGCATTTTGCCAACACAGACTACTTAGACTAGAGGGTGTGTTTATTGCACTGGGTACGTGAGCGTGTAAGAAAGAGATAATTTATTACAGTGCGCATTTGTTTGCTGTATTGTGTGTGTGTGTGTGTGTGCGCACGCCAGCGCGTGACGTGACGTTTTATGGCAGTGTGAGGATGTGTTTTAGTGTTCTTCTAAAGCACGTTTTATTGCTGTGTGAGTGTTTGTGCGACTGTGTGCGCGCAGTATCTTTTCTTCCTCTTTTATCAAGTCACACCAGCATTCAACACTCACCAATAGATGTGTGCTTTAGCTTTTAAATATTAATAAAACCTCTTAAATGTTGTATGCAGTAAAGCACACACATTGCAGCCACAGATAACAGGAAAGACGGGGAGGGGTTCTCGGCCCGGTGGCAGTGAAACGTAAAAGAATGTAGGGGCTGTAAATTCTCCTAGCTGTTCTTGCTGTTCTTTGAAGTGTCTGCGTTTGGGGAAGATTTGTGACACACACACACACACACACACACACACACACACACACACACACACACACAAACCTGAGGCCTGAAGGGCTTATATTCCTTCTACTCTGCTCTCTTGCTTCTTGTAATACATCCAGAATATCAGGATTGGTCTACTCCTAGGTTATTCCATTGTAAAGGGAATGAAGTGCGCCGAGGCCTGAGTGCGAAATGACCTGTGTGCGCCCTATCCAAAACCTACATCCTTGGCCGGTTTTTAAAGTCATGCTGACCTTTTTATTTCTTTGGCGTTTCTCTTTTAAGGAAGTACATACTCAAAGCAATAAGTGTTTATTTGGACTGGTAGTGGGCATAGTAACCGGAAAGAGAGAGAGAGAGAGGGAAAAGTGAGAGGGAGGAGGGACTACTTGGAGATTGTATGACTCCTGTTTAATGTCGTAAAGAGCGAATGTGTGATATGGTTTGTCTCTTGGTCTTTGTGTATATTTGACGGTTCTGCCGTTTTGCACCTTAAGTACTATCATTTGTAAGCAACTCCAGTCACAAGACACAAGTTTCCATAATGTAAAAAGTACAGACAGTCTGACTCTCTTTTTATTTGCATAGCACCCGCATTTATGACTTCAATTATTTATGCTATTTCAAAATATGGATAATTACAGGGCGGATTTTAAATGATTGTTAACATAAATATAAACGACATGTTTAAAGTAGCTTAAAGTAAAATTAAAAAGTTTTATTCTTTGATCAACCATAACATATATGATAATCATTATTTTTGTTGGAAACAGAGAGCTGTAGGCTTTATAACCATCCACATACGCAGAAATCACTTGTTGTGAGTGGCTGACAAAGCTTCTGAAAATCCGCTAGGTTTATGATGTTAGTGAAATCTGATATGGACATAAAAACTGATTTTTGTAAGGTCAAATATGTTTGATTTACTAATGTATAAAGACACGGGCATCTCCATTTATTTTTATGTTGTCTAATATGCAGTTCTCGGATTTTTTTTCCCCATTTAGAGGTGCTTTTAAGTCTTAAAGTAATGTACGTATTGTACTTTACTTTTACTTTAGCGTGTGGGAGAAAAGCTTTCATAAATTAACAATGGGGTACACTTTAAGACAAGAGTTCGCGGACCCCCCCCCCCCCCCCCCCCCCCCCCCCCCTCCTC